AAAGATCCTCAGACAGCACCTTCCAAACCCACGACCACTTCCATCTAGAAGGACAAGGGCAGCAGATATATATGGAACACCACCACTTTCAAGTTCCCCTCCAAGCCACTCACCACCCTGACTTGGAAATATATCGTCATTCCTTCACTGTTACTGGGTCAAAATCCTGGAATTCCCTCCCTAAGGGCATTGTGGGTCAACCCCGAGAAGGTGGACTGCAGCATTTCAAGAAGGCAGCTCACCACCACCTTCTCAAGGGCAACTAGGGACATGCAAGAACTGCTGGCCAGCTAGCAACACTCACGTCCCACAAATGAATTTAAAAAATGAGCAAACATTCACATTCCTACATCATGAGCTGAGAACTGTCTGTTTGATCAAGAAAACACAACTTGCCCTCAAGTGTGACTTCCACTTCCTGGCCTGGCTCTACAATTCCAATGTTCCAATGTCTTCCAAAGTTCAGTCTATGTGTCTTCGTCTCCTCCAACAGCAGTCCTCTCGGGGTGTAGGGAGAACCATAGCATTGTTAGGGAGGGAATTCTAGGATGTTGGCCCGGTGGCACTGAAGGAACAATGACATACAGTGTTTCTAAATCAAGACAGTGAGTGACTTAGAGGGGAATGTACCGATGATGGTGTACCCTGTATCTGCTGGGCTTGTTCTTCCAGAAGTTGAAAAGTGCTGTCTAAGAAGTCTCAGTAAGTTTCTGCAGTGCATTTTGCAAATAGTACACACTGATGCCCCCTTATGTTGATGGTGGAGTAAGTGTTGTAAGTGAATGGGATAACAAAGAAGTGGGCTGTTTTGTCCTGTATAGTTTCAAGATTCTTGAGTCTTGTTGGAGCTTCACCCATTCAGAAAAGTGGGGAGCTTTCCATCATATGCCTGGCTTATGTCTAGTAGATGTTAGATAGGCTTTGGGGAGTCAGGAGGTAGGTTACTTACCCCAGAATTCCTAACCTCTGACCTGTCACTGTGGGCATAGTTTTTATATAGATAGTCTAGTTTCTGGACAATGGTAACCTTGAAGATATTAACGTGAGGGACTTGGAGATTGTAATGCCATTGAACTTCAAGAGACAATAGTTAGATTTTCCCGGGTTTGAATTGATCATTGTCTATCAGTCATGTGGCACGAATGTTACTTTTCACTTATCAAACCACGATTAGACATTGTTCAGATCTTGCTGCATATGGACATGGACTGCTTCAGTATCTGAGGAGTTGTGGTAAGTGCTGAACATTGTGCAATCATAAACGATCATCCACATTTCTGACCTTATGATGGAGGAAAGGTGATTGATGAAGCAGCTAGAGATATTTGAGCCGAGAGCAATGCCCTGACAAACACGTGCTGTGATGTTCTGGGGCTGAAAAGACTGACTTTCTACAAACAACAATAAACCTCCTTTGTGCAAAGTATGTCTTCAACCAGTAGAAAGCCTTTCTCCCCGATTCCCATTGACTCCAGTTTTGCCAGCACTCCTTGACACCATGCTCAGTAAAATGCTACCTTAACATCCAAGGCTGTCCTCTCACCTCACTTCTGGAGTTCAGCTCCTTTGTTCATGTTTGGTCTAAGGTTGTAATGAGGTCAGGAGCCAGTTGACCCTGGCAGATCCCAAACAGAGCATCAGTAAGCATGTTAGTCCTTTGCAAGCATTACTTGACAGCACTGTTGGTGGCCCCTCTATCACTGTGCTGATGATCTAGAATAGATTGATGGGCAGTAATTAACTATGTTGAATTTGACCTGTTTTTTGCATACAAGATGTACATAGGCATTTTTCCATATTGCTGTGTAGATGTCAATGTTGTAGTTGTACTGGAACAGCTTGGCTAGGGGTGCAGCTAGTTCTGGGGCACATGCTTTCAGTACTTTGGCTGGAATGTTGTCAGGGCCCATAGTCTTTGCCATATCCAATGCCTTTCAGCTGTTTCTTGATGTCATGAGGTGTGAATCGAATTGGTTGAAGACTGGCATCTACAATGCTGGGGATCACTGGACGGAGCCAAGATAACTCGTCTACTCAGCACTCCTGAGGTGTAATTACTTTAGTCTTGTCTTTTGTTAGATATAAAAATAAATCACAGATCCCAGTGGAGATTTCCCTACCTAAGTAGTATCATGTGACCAATAGCTGCCTACTCTTTATATATTAACTAATCAAGGTGTCATTAACCCAGGCTAGTTTTCATGTGATAAACATTAGCACAGCACAGTGAAATAAATAAGATTATACAAGTCAAGGTTGGCAGAAGATTATGGAAAGTTGAGCTCCCACTGCCCAGGACACATTGATTATTTTCTGCCGTATTGAAATACTGCCCAGTTGTAATTCTTGTCCCATAATGCTGAAGCTATAGCAGCATATAGTTGGTGTGCTAAACCTTAACAGGTTTGTGGGAATCAAAAATCAATCTCCCCGTGGAGCTCACTGAGTTTAATTTCCCTTCGTAACAGGCAACAGCCTGCCTAGCTGGAACTCATCGCCTGAGCCCTAGGGTGCTGCATTGTGGTGCAGTGGTAATGTTCCTACTCCTGGACTGGGAGGCCCAGATTAAAGTCCCACCTGCTCCAGAGATGTGCAATAACAAGTTTGAACAGGTTGATTGGAAAAATAGATTAATTTTTTTTTTAGAAAGCAGACCAAAAAAATCTAATGCAGATCCAGAGGGTTCTTGTGGCACAGTGGTAGTGCTTCTATTTCTGAGCCAGGGGGCCGAGGTTCAAGCTCCACCTGATCCAGAGGAGTGTAATAACATCTCTGCACAGGTTGATTAGCAAATAGGATAAAGCAGATCCAAGTAGCAATGTGGTTGAGAGGTCTAAGGAACTAGAGGCTCCAGTCTCTATGGAGACGTGAGTACAAATCACACTGCTGCTGGTAGCTTGTCATGCCAAATCTTTGTGTCAGCGAGCTCCATTTAAGTTGCACATGACAAAATGTAATGTGTTTTGAGCAAAACGATCTAAGATGAACAACAACACAGAACATCAATCAGGTCAGCAGCTGCATTGTAGCTGGCTATAAATAGGTCTAAGCAGTGGGATGTGGAGGGGGGGTCATATGTGCGACTGTCTGACCCTCCTCTACAGTTACATTCGAGCCTGGTTACCTTTGGAGCGGGAACACGCACTGTCCATCAATGCTCTCAATGCCTTTAGAGAGAAGTGAGCACCATGGGGATACAGCGCTTTATCTCTCTCTCCAGCTACATTTTGATTTAGTCCTTTCCCTCTCTCTCTATCCTCAACCTCCCTCCTTCAGTTTTGATGGTTTGTATTGCCCATAATGGGCTATGCTTGTAAATATTTAATTGACTACGCAGGAGATTACTGGTGGTGATCAGCTGTTTAAAAAATTACAGTGATTTGGTGGTGGGAAAGTCACTCATTCATTCATGATAGATCTTCTGGATATAAAAAAGGTAAAAATAAGAGAAATAAAGCAGACCCAGGGGTTGGGTCTATAGAACTGTCTCCCCCAGCTGGGACTAGACTATGTATTCCATGAGTAGTGGCTCTATTTCGGAGTTTAACAATAAATGATGTTCCTTTCCATTCAGCCTTTCTGAGTTATTACAGTTGGCAAGGGCAGCAACTGAATCCCTATGATCCTGCTGCCTTTCTGATGGCACTCACACATTAACCTGCCCTTCTGAGCAAGTTAGCATGACCCTTACAAGAGGTCAGCTGGATCCTACCGTAAGCAGGTAGATCAATGCCAATGCCCAGACAGGAAATTGATTAGGCTCAGAATGACTGGAAAACAGGGTGAATTGGGAAGCAGACACGGACATTGGAGAGTGTTGGTTAAATGACGTGTACAACAATAACAATAATTTACATTTATATAGTTCAATTAAAGTAGTAAAACTCCCCAAAACACTTCACATAGGCATTACCAAAGAAACTTTGGTACCATAACATAAAGAGGAACTGCTGGAGAAACTCAGTAGGTTTGGCAACATTTGTGAAGAGAGAAACAAAATTAACATTTCACATCCAGTCTGACTCTTCATCAGAACTCCGCATGGTAGACAGTTTCAGCCATGTTATTTAGATATTTCTTTCAAAATTCCTGTTGAACTTCAAGTCAAGTGACTTTGGTGGCCATTTTGAAGGGCCCTAGCCCGTTTATTCCCTGTTACCTCTCACAACTAAGCCTGAGGCCTTTAACTTGGACGATGAGATTTAAAGATTAATGGCCTATATCTTCTATTATCATGATACTGCTGACCGCCATCTCCACCTTCTCACCATCCTGTTCTGTCTCTGCCTTTAGGTGAAACCTCTCTTGGAGACATGATCAGGCCAAGACTACATCCTGCTAAGGGAAGCATTGCCTGTAGGTTGGTAGCTGTCCTATTCATTGAGATGATGGTAACTTTTACACGTCTTGGATCTTAAATGGGCCACAATGCTATCACCACATTGCCATATCCGCAGCCAAAATGGGCCCTGATCAATTTATACCACTAATACCAACGAGGATCATGGCTCAATAATGTTTTTGCTGACACTATCACAACAGAAAGGCCTCAGCTCAGTGAAGGGGCAGAGTAGGCCCATATCAATGTTATTTGCCTGTAGCAGTGTTATCTCTCTGCAGTACTGTTTGCAAGGCTTTTTTTCTCAGAACCACTTAATCAGCCTAGTAAATCATTTCCAAATGTTTCAAAGCTGTCTGAATCAAACCGTTCCTTGTTTTAAAAGTCCTATCTAACAGTTTGCAGGAAAACAATGATAGCTTGTTTCCAGATTGCTGATAATCATTTCAGAACTACTCTAAAAAGGTTATTAAGCATATCAATGTCAATCTAGCACAGAAACTGTGAAATCAAGTTCTTTGGTCATGGTTTTTGGTCATTATTAAAGGTTGTCCGCAGTCATCATTTAAGGCTGTCTACTGTATGCTTTATGTGTTAATCTTTAACTTTGCAGCCAGATACATTATTCTGCTTTAGATTAAATCATTTTGACAGCTTCACACTATGGTGTAAATGCCTAACAGCACAAGTAGGTATGTGGATCCACTTATACAAGTTTTCTTACAAGGGAGCTATAGGAAAACAACTTTCCATGTTATTTAGTTTAAATACTACTGTATCCTTCATCTGAAAACATGCAGCGGTGAGGCAGTCAGAGGTGCCTGGAACTTGGTGCGAGACTGTTTCATTCAGAGTGAGCAAAACTATGTGTGTTTCCAGCATTTTTTGATTAGTTCTATTTTTATGCCTGCATCAGTAAGGTTGTTTCTTTTGCCAGCTTTGTCATTTTAACGGCTTTATTTCTTTTTTAGAAAAGCCTTTCTTTTTACAGTATTTCCTGTTCATTATTTTCATTTATTAATTTTTTTTTCCGTGAACCTCACCAAAATGATCTTTTAAAGTAGAATTTCTGAACTGCTCCCCAATACAAGATTCCTAGCATGACAGCTAACCCAGTACTTTTCATTACTTGCCCTAATTTAATTCTCATAGCAAGCCTAATTTGGTTTCTGGTTAAGCAAAGGCTCAATTTAAATTGCTCGTCTTTATTTGCAAATCCCTCCATGACCTCATTCTTCCTGCTCTTTGCAATCCCCTGGAGCCTCACAACAATCTAAGAACCTTTGAACTTTTATGAAACTCATTCAGAAGGTGGTGAACCTTTCGAATTCTCTTCCCTGGAGAAATTGTTGAGTATGTTGAATACAGAAATTCAGAGGTTTCTAGAGAGTAATGACATCAAGTGTTAACTGAGCTAGCACAGGGTGATCAGCCGTTATCTAATTGAAAGACAGAACAGGTTTGATGGGTTGAATGGTCTACTCCTGCTCCCATGTTCTATATCTACATGCCCCTTTTTTAACCACTCAAACCACTTAGGTGACACATACAACAACAACATTTTTTTACATTTATATAGCTAATGTTGTAAAACATCCCATAACACTTTGCATAGGCATTACCAAACAAAATTTGGTACGAATAATAAAACCAGGAAATGTTGGAGAAAGTCAGCAGGTCTGGTAGCATTTGTGAAGACAGAAATAAAGTGAACATTTCAAGTCCAGTCTGTGCCATTATCCACAAAGGCCCAGAGCTCCAGAATTCCCTCCTTCAACCTTTCCAAGTCTTTACCTCACTTTCATCTTTTAACATGTTTCTTAAATCCTGCTTCTGTGAGGTTTTGATCATATCTGACCTAATATTTCCCTGTGTGGCTCAGTAAAGCTCCTTTGAATCCCCCTGGAAGGTTTTATTGCATTAGAGGTACTGAGGTGTATAGAACTTGAGTATTGTTGAAAACGACAAACATTTTGTTGAAGCTTTTCATCTTTTATTAATCAGGACAATTCACAAGGCTTCCAATAAAGAGAAAAAACATCATTTCTACAGAGTGAGAAGAAAGTGTTGATTGGTTGTCAAGTTGACTCTGATTGGTAGAGATATTGAATGGCGAATGAAGCAGTTAATGATGATTGAATGTTAACTGCCAGGATTTGCTTAGGTTTTAAACCAGGCGGGTTGACTCTGGTCAGGAGAGAAATGAACCAGCAAATGACTGTCACCAATTTTGTTGAGTTGAAATAGGTGGCAGTGCTTTTCTGAAATAGATGGCAGTGATGTTATACTTTCTGGCTGCAAAGGACAAAGCGCTGTGTATTAATATATGTGGCTTACAATACTTACAAGTGTGTCACTCAGAAAGCCTGACTGACAATCCTAACTCTATTGTCGGTCTAATTCTATGCACACTCAAGATTATCCAACAGATGTTGTCAAATTGCAAAGTCCAGTCCAATGTTGGGCACTCTGTTGTGAGTCCATTAAGCACAGGCTTGCTAGAGACAGTCAGTTAAACATTTTCTGGATACACCAGAGTGTGCAAAGGATTAAATTGACAATGAATTTTGGACTATCGGTTAGGTTTAGCCAGGAATCTGGACTAGAGTTTACTGATGCAAAGGGAGTAGACTCAATTGCAAACTATGGTAATCAAAATTTCGTAATGTTTATCAATTAAGAAACAAGAATTCACCTGAGGGCAAAAAAGCCTCTATCACAATCAGCTGATATTTCTAAATGTCCACAAATACTTATGCAAAGTCATTCAGCCTCAAATCTAGCCACTTTCAGGCTTTGTAGGCCTGACTGCCTTGCCTCATTATTGCATTGGTTTTCTCAGCCTCCTTATTAGCTCCCTCAGTTTCTCAGTCAGACTCTCTTTCCTTGTGCAAGGAAGCATACAGCTCTCCCATGTCCCCCTTTTCCAACATGTCAGCCCGGCTCGAGCTGGGTTGTGCATGGAATGCAAAAGATCATTTGTCTGGACACACTGTCCAATGACTAAATTGTCTTACAAGATGATGAGAGGCATAGATAGAGTGGATAGTCAGAGACTTTTTCCCAGGGTGGAAATGACTATTACAAGGGGGCATAATTTTAAGATGATTGGAGGAATGTATAGGGGAGATGTCAGAGGTAGGTCCTTCACACAGAGAGTGGTGGGCGTGTGGAATGCACTGCCAGCAGTGGTAGTGGAGTCAGGTACTTTAGAAACTTTTAAGCAACTCTTGGATAGGCACATGGAGGATAGTAAAATGTTGGGTATGCAGGGTAGATTGGTCTTTGTAGGATAATAGGTTGGCACAACATCGTGAGCCGAAGGGCCTGTGCTGTGCTGTACTGTTCTATGTTCTATATTCTATGTTCTATGTTCTCCTGAGTGTTCCAGACAGAGGAAACATGTCTTCAGTAGTCTGTTTGGTGATGACCATATTGAATATGTGAGCAGCACTGTGTCTAGAGACACAAAACCTGCAGATGTTGGAATCCAAGGTAAACAAACAGGAGGCTGGAAGAACACAGCAGGCCAGGCAGCATCTGGAGGAAAGAAGCAGACAACGTTTTGGGTATTACCCTTCTTCAGGGCTGGTCCAAATTTTGAAGATTTAAAATGTACCTGTAGGCCTTGAGGGATGAGATGGTGTGGTTTGTTTGGTACCTGTGTCTGTCTGGTATCAAGCTGAGGGGTTTGTACTGGGTTGATTAACCTTCTGAGGGTACACCTAAGGGGCAGCCCTGGGGATGTGGTGGGACTGGTGGTGATGGGGAAAACATTTGAGGAACCTGGGAGTTGTACAGAACGGAAGCAACATGACAGCTGACCGTGGCATGGGAGGCCATTCAAGAGGGGGGAGCAAAAAGACTACTGGTAGTTGTAGGAGATTCTATAATCAGGGGAATAGATAGTATCCTTTGTAACCAGGATCGAGAGTCCCGCATGGTGTGTTGCCTGCCCAGTGCCAGGGTAAGGAATATCTCTGACCGGCTTGAAAGGATATTGGAGAGGGAGGAGGAGGATCCAGTTGTCATGGTCCATGTTGGAACAAACAACATAGGCAAGACTAGGAAAGAGGGCCTATTTAAGGATTATCAGGACCGAGGAATGAAATTAAAGAGCAAGTCCTCAAGGGTTATATTCTCTGGATTACTACCTGAGCCATGTGCAAATTGACATAGGGACATGAGAATAAGGGAAGTAAACACGTGGCTAAAAGAGTGGTGTGGGAAAGGGGGGTTCCTTTTCATGGGGCACTGGCATCAGTATTGGAACAGGATGGATCTGTACCACTGGAACGGTCTCCACCTGAACCGAGCTGGGACCAATGTTCTAGCGAAGAGGGTAAAGAGGCTGGTCAACAGGACTTTAAACTAGAAAGTGGGAGGTGAAGGAAAGGGTAAAACTTCCCCCAGTGGGGAGCAAAGCAGCTGGTTAACATATATAGGGGTAGATTCCACTGCTTGGAAAAACATGAAAAAAATGATGAGAAAGGAGAACTCAGGAGAGGTTTTTTACGTTTTCAGCATAGACACAAATAGGACAGAGTGTTTGGAAAGGGTTAGGAATCAAACTTCAAGCACACTGGATAAATGAGTGTCAATGAGAAGAGGGACAGGACTGAAGCTGTTATATCTGAATGCACGCGGTGTAAGAAAGAAGATAAAAGAGCTTGTGGCACAGATCGAAATTGGCATCAAGGAGGCATGGCTGCAAGGGGATCAGGATTGGGAGCTGAATATCCAAGGATATACATCTTATCAAAAAGATAGGCAGGTGGGCAGAGGGGGTGGGGTTACCTTATTAGTAAGAAATGAAATTAAATCAATAGTAAAAAATGAAGTAGAGTCAGATGGTGTACGTGTGGGCAGAGCTGAGGAACCGCAGAGGTAAAAAAAACCATAGATGGAATTATGTACAGGCCTCTAAACAGTAGTCAGGAGCTGGGGCACAAGATACCCCAGGAGATAGAACAGGTGTGTAAGAAATGCAAAGTGACAGTGATCATGGGGGAATTTCAATATGAGGTGGATTGGGAAAATCAGGTTGGTAGTGGATTGCAAGAAAAGGAATTTATGGAATGGCTACGAGATGGCATTTTGGAGCAGCATGTGGCAGAGCTCACTAGGGAACAGGCAATACTGGGTTTAGATGTTGGTACTGGATTTAGTGTTGAGCAATGAGACAGACTTGATAAGGGAGCTTAAGATAAAGGAACTCTTAGGAGGCTTTGATCATAATATGATTGAATTTACTTTGCAATTTAAGAGGGAGAGGATAGAATCAGAGGTAGCGGTATTACAGCTGAATAAAGGCAACTACAGAGGCATGAGGGAGGAGCTGGGCAGTATTGACTGGAAGAGGAGCCTATCAGGAAAGACAGTGGAACAGCAATGGCAGGAGTTCCTGGGAGTAATTCAGGAGACACTGCAAAAATTCATCCCTAGCAGAAAGAAGCAGGGTACAGGGACAATGAGGCAACCATGGCTGACTAGGGAAATTAGGGATAGCATAAAAGCAAAAGAGAAAGCATATAATGTGGTGAAGGGCAGTGGGAAACCAGAGGAATGGGAACCTTACAGAGACCAACAGAGGGCAACAAAAAAAGAGATAAGGAAGGAGAAGATTAAATCTGAGGGTAAGCTATCCAGTCATATAAAGGAGGACTGTAAAAGTTTCTTCAGATAGATAAAG